AACTAACTAACAAACGTAACGAAGTAACAACAAACAAACAAAGTAAGTAGTATATTACGTTACGTTACTACGTAGTAGGTACGGTACGTACTATATACGAGAGAGAGAGAGAGAGAGANAGAGAGAGAGAGAGAGAGAGAGAGAGAGAGCAAACCAATTTCAACTCCCCGAATCTCTGCGAATCCACGAGAAGCTCCTTCATCTTGGCAGTCCTAGGGTGATGCATCCACATAGTCCCATCCATGAATTGAATCCCATTATCTTCACAAGCCCCCAATATGACATCAAGCTCTGCAACATTCAGAGCAGCTGGTTTCTCGAGCAAAATATGCTTCTTCCTCTTGGCCGCCTTTACCGCCCACTCAATATGGAAGCTCGTCGGGAGTGGAATGTAGACCGCATCGACATGCGGGTCATCAAGGAGCTCTTGATAGGCTCCATAGGCTCTGGAATTCGGGGGGAAGCCATTATCGGAGGCGAAAGCTCTGGCCTTTTCCAAGGAGCGGCTGGCCACTGCACAAAGGCAAGCATTTGGGGCGCGGTTAATGGCCCTCGAGAGCTTTATTGCTATGGTGGCGCAACCCAAGATGCCAAAACGAATTGGGTTTTCGGCCATTTGCGGCGAACAAGCCTTTGATTGCAGGGCCATTCACTGATGAGAGTTGTAGAGAGAGAAACAGATATGGGTTCGGGGTGGAAGGGATATGTGAGAGTTGGGAGCGGATTTATCAAGAGAGAGAAAGAGTTATCGGTTGTTACACCGTCTAGAGAGAGAGGGAGGCCGCAGCGTGGTGGTTTGGTAAATCGTGGCATCTTTATCGAATTGCAGAGAAATCCTGGTCAAGGGAGATCTTCGGAAGATTGATCCTCTAGGACTCTTGGAGATGGAAATTTAGCAATATAATATGGGTGCGGTTTGCATACGGCCGACCCTCCAGACCATCAAAGTAAAGCGCACCTCCAAATAATAGTATCGAGAAATGTAGTTTCAATACTGTAAATCTTTGTGGTAGTTTTAAAATATATTTTTATATCTAATTATAAAATTTAATACTTCAAAAATAATATAGATCGGGCATATCTATGAATTCTAATTGTAGAATTTAAAATTTCAAAAATAATGTAGATCGGGCATATTTATGAAAATCTTAAAAATTAACCGTCTAAAAATGTATATTACTATTTCTAAAACCTAAAATTCATTTTTTTTCTTATGCCCATACATCTTGATGTCTCGATGATCATTTTGAAGATATTTGGGCATCAAAACAACCTTTCTTCTAGCAAATTTTTTTAGGTGGGCTCTAATTTGATTGTTTAGAACCTCATCTCTATATAAACTTTTTCCTTAAATTTCATTCTAAAAAAATAGGTAATTGATAGTAAAAAAAATATCTATCATTTTCAAAACTTGAAATCTATTTTTTCTCATGTCTATGAATCATGATGTGGAGATCATTAATTTGAAGATATTTGGCTATCAAAATAACCTCTTCTAATAAAATTTTTGAGGTTTGCTCTGATTTGATTGATTAGAACATAGACTCTAAATAAACTTCTTTCATTAGTTTATGGGGAAATATAATTCTAACGGTTTAAGTTTTTAACAAAATTATTAGGGCCAATTGGATACTTGGAGAGGCTTCTCTCGGAGACATCTCTCCATGAAGAGCACTCCTAGTTCGATACTTGGAGAGGCTTCTCTTAGAGACTGCTGTTCTGCATTTGTCATCTATTGACTTTGTGATCTTCGAATATAGTGTATACTTTGTGGCATAGTCATCAGGATCGGATTGGCTACTAAAACGTAGTAGGGTCTATTCCGATAAAAATGAGCTCGATTATCTGTCAAATCAATTGGATTAGATATTTTTAAAATATAATAATAAAAATAATATTTTGAATATAAAATAGGTTAAGCAACAAATTTTCAATTTTGTTTAACCAATCGAACTACTTGAAACCATATAGTCCAATTTTAAATTAAAACTAGATTTTTTCTTTAAACTCGTATTAAGAGACCTCGGCAATCATATCGGTTGGGAGTAAGTTGTGTATTATACAAGAGCTAGCACTGCTTTTTTATGTTGACTAGTTTTAAATCAAACTAGATATTTACTTTAAACTTAAATCAAGACACTTCAACAATCAAACTGATCAGGGCCAAGTTGTGTGCTTCATAGCTAATTTTGACCAGTTTTAAATCAAACTAGATATTTATTTTAAACTTAAATCAAGACACCTCAACAATAAAACCGATCAGGACCAAGTTGTGTGCTCCATAGCTACAAGAGCTAGCACTGCTCTCTGCACCCGATCTTTAGGACCCAAAGCCTGTAGTCCAAAGCGTTCAAGGCATAATTTTTAGGATTCCTCATCAGTTCATTTCCATCACTATCTCCTTTAACTAAAGGTGATCTTAAAGGGTGGCAATAGACCTAGACCCGATCTAAGACCCGAGAGGTAGACAATATCCAGGTCTGGGTATGTATTCAAAAATTTGACTCGACAGGTCGATCCTCGTCCCGCACTATACTTTTAGGTGCGGACCCAACCCATTGCCATCCCTAGTAGGTTAGTACTAATTTTTTTTGCCATCCCTAGTAGGTTAGTACCAATTTTTTTTGCCATCCCTAGTAGGTTAGTACTAATTTTTTTTGGTTAACTTGTGAAACACTAATGATGATCCTTACTGAAAGGGGATAAAAGGTCTCATAGGAAAGAGTGAATAAAGAAAAAGAGCTTGGTACCTATACGGCCAAGCAAAAGAACAGGAGTAATCAAAACCAACTAAAAATTGAGTACTATACCTTTTAGTGCTCGTGATTCTTTTGCTATTTTCCTGACGTGGAGAACCAGCCCCACATGATAAAAAGGCCAATGCTGTGTGCTATCATCAGCTTCATTGCATGAATGCAACTAAAGGTGAGTACAGAGAGGAAGTTTGATTGGTTGTAAAAATGATTGATGTCTTGGCCTGTTGTAAAGTAAAAAAAAATTACAAAAAAACCCCAAGATGAAATTTTTAATGCAACTTCCCCTCAATTTATCATTTTTTTTAAAAAAATACACTTTCCAAGCAAATAACCCCCGACCAAATAAAAAATAAGAAAAAATCTCTAAACTTTCCTCCTTTATTTTTACCTTATCCATGCCTCCGACAATATGTAAAGTGCAATCCGGTGGTATGGGCGCAGGCACTAGGTAAAATGCAGTCAGACAGTAGGGCTCCAACACTGTGTAAAATGAGGTCCGACAGTTGCAAAGGGAGGTCCAGCAGTTGCAAATGGCAGTCCGGCAGTTGCAAAGGCGGTCCCGCGATAGATGTTACTGGATTCCAGGTATCTGGCACTATGTAAAAGGCGGTACGGTAATACTTAGTTTGCGTTTGGTAGTTGTCTTAGGGCGGTCCGGCACTTCTGCGCTCCGGCAATATGCTATCCGGGTCCAAAAGTCAACGTCAAATCTGGCAAAAACGATTTTTGTGCATTGGAAGGGCATTTCCGTTTTAAAAAAATGAAATTTTTTCCTTGGAGGATATTTGCATAGAAAGTTTGTGTTGGGGGAAGAAATGAGTGAAAGGTTAGGTTGGAGGTAAGTTGCATAAAAAGCATGGTCTTGGGGTTTTTTTTTTTTGTAAATTTTCCAAGTAAAAATTGAGCATAGTAAAAAATTGGACAAAACTTGTATTTAACCAGTTTTGGCCAACCAATTGGTTTCAACTGGTTTGATCAGCCAAGAATGTTGAATAATTGTTTCCTAATATTATATATTTTTAAATTATTTTTCATAGTTTTATTTATATTTTTTAAATTTAATTAGACTGGTTGCAGTTGAACTCCCATCATTTTGATAGCCGATTTTATCCTGATAACATTAGTATAAATAGTAAAATATAGAAGGCGGACATATAATATAAAACCATAGAAATTAGGATACTGAGTATACATTTCTACGTGCAATACAAGTAATCCACTAGTTTTTCGAAGCACATACAAAGCTCATATATTTTTTTTTTTATCTCTTTATGAGATTGTTAAGTTAAATAGATTACATCCCAAAATTTAAGATCGTTAAGTTAAATAGATTACATCCCAAAATTTGGGGTTTTAAAGATATTCCATTGTCCTTATCACAGAGGGGTACATTGTAAGATGCGCTCCTAAGAGAATATATAATCTTGGAAAAGTATATAGTGAGACTATTTATTTTTAGTACAAGATGGTCACAATTAATCTTGACCATTGGATGTGAAATTGAATGGCTTTATTTATTTCATTGACCACGCTCAAATTTCAAAAAAAAATTTCTCGAACTTTGTGACACACCCAAGCTATCAGATTTCACATCGGATGGATGTAAGTAATTGTGATCTCTTTGTGCTAAGGTAAATAGTCTCGTGGTATACAATTCTTATAATCTTTTAGCGAAAAACACATTGCTAGCAAAAGTTTGCTTATGTTATTTATAGTCTTAAGTAAAAGGAAAATTGTTTTATGAGGGTTGGACCGTATTTCTACAATATGCGGTCCATAGGTATAAAGCATCTATCTTAAAGATGGATGCAAATAGGTGGTCCATCTAAAAACAATTGTAACTTATGGTCCAAATGTTTTGTTAATATAATTATTATTTTTAGTTTTTGATTTTTTTTTTTTTCATATTCATGATCTCCATGTTAAAGATTATATATTCTCTAAAAATTAAGATCAAAATATATTTATTGCGAACCCCGTATTTCTACAATATACAAGCTAGTCGCAATGAAACCGTGTCCTAAGTAAAACCTCCCTTCAATTTCTTGACTTACTTTTTAAATTGAAATAGTGAGAAACCAAGAATTAGTTCCAAACATACATTCTCATGAAGGTCATGCATTCTACAAATCCCATTGTTGAATTGGGCACTCTTAAAATATTATAAAGGGGAATGATTTCATGCAAAAGTTGTGTAGTAGTATAATGCAACCATCTTTAAAGACCATGTTAGAGATATTTGTTTGACACGAATTTTTAAATGTACACTCTTTTGATTATGAAGAACAATCACAAAAACGAAAATTTTGAAAACACGTTGTAGAAAGTTTTCATTCTAGCCCAATTAATATAAGCCGTCCATTTTATTGAGATGGTTAGATATAGGCTTTAGAAGGATTTTTTTATTCCCAAAATATCTATCTAGCGTTACCATCATTAGATTAATACTGCTAAAAAAGAAAATTATGATTTTGAATTTGTTAAGGCCTAGATCTTGAAATTCACCCAATGGATGGTAGAGACTTATTGTTGGATGGGTACTAACTTTGATCATATCTAGGGGACAAATTAAATTTTTTTTTTGTAGCATTGATTATGAGGATGAAAAAAATGTGTGGGCAAAATTTGGGGTTCTACAAATGTTAAAAATATAATTTTCTAGAAGTGTGGTTGCATTATACTACTATACAATCGTTGTTTTAGATCATTTCCCTACTATAAAATAAAGGGCAAATAGAAAAGATAAAAGGGAAAGAGCGTCTCCAACATGGATTTTAAAAAATAATAAGAATCTGCTAGCTCGCAGTGCTCATGGGTGCATACTGTACATTTACTTTCTCATGCAAAAGTTTAATGTGAGAAGACCTTTTAGATCCAAAATTTTCAGATCCACCTAAAAATCAGTAGATCATTATATTCAAATAAAGAATTTGCATTTTGAGTTTTGAGTTTTGTCTCACTTAGATCTTACTTTCAAAAAATTGAATGGCTTCTATTCAATCTCGATGCATTGTTCTTTTTCTTCTTCTTTTTTCAAGCCCTAGATAATGCAATTTGGATTGTTTTAAAAAAAATCGAGTATAGCATATGGGTTGAAGAGGCTACATTTTTTAATTTTGAGGTCCTAAAAATATTTCCAGATTGTTTTGCCTGAGGGAATAAAAGGCCCTTAAGCTCTATCGCGAGCATGAAATCGTTTGGCTCATAAAATATTGATGGTTGGTGGGACATTCTAACCAAAGCTGATTTCCAAAAAGGGTTGTAGACAAATTCTTTTGAATCAATAGAACTGCAAAAGAGGATAACACCTATGATACAAGATTAGCTTGGCAACTAAATTAGTTAGAGGTCTACTCCGATCAAATCAGTTTGATCACCAGTAGAATCATTTGAATAGGAATAAGAAAGGAGAAATAAAATTAATAATTTAAAAACATAAAATATATTGCAAAAAAAGGTTTCCAATATTATTCAGCCTATCAATACGGGTCAAAATCAAATGGTCCAACTGACCAAAGACAGACAAACATTAGTTTTGATAATTATTTTATCATATTCAAATGGTCCATCTGTTAGCTGTGAAAGGAAAGTATATATTGTACACCTGGTTAATATGAAAGATATATATTGTAATATGTAGATTTAGGAAGGATAGATACAATATCTTGTATTTATGGTAAGTCTTGGTATAGTATAGGAAACGGTGATTTATTTCTGTATTTTCTCATCTGTAATTTATCTATAATAGGCAAGTCTGTACATTCATACTATTAATGGATATTGAGTCTTTTTAAACAAATATGAGACTCTTCATATGGTATCAAATCCAGATTCATCTCTCATCTGAGCTTTTACCTCAGATTTGAGCTCTCTGCTGAGTTGTATTTTGACTCTTTGATATGTCATCTGAGTTGTGTTTTGACTCTCGAATCTGTCTCTTTGTCGAGTCGTTTTCGACTCTCTAATCTATTTTGCTCTTTAGAATTTTTATCGGATTTATTTTTCTCTTTGGAATTTTTATCGGATTGATCGGGCCTACTGTGATATGACCTTCAATTCCGGAGGCCATCTGTTCCGGAGGCTTGTTAATCCGCCGTTGCTTTATGTGCTTGTTGATCAAGCAATCTGAGCTTGACAACCATTGCATCTACCAGTTACTCTCTCTCATAACATCTTGCATTTGAGGGGGAGTATGAAAAGAATGTATATATTGTATACCTCATTAATATGGAAGGTATATATTGTAATATGTATATGGGAAATGTTCTTATGAGACCCTCTCACACCCATGTGTATAGCAACTTAAAGGATCACCATTAAATTTGGCACATCTCTCTAAAAAAGTCAAGTCTCACACACATGTGATAACTGTTTTAGAGATCTGTATCAAATTTAATGGTGATCCTTTGGGGTCCTACACACATGGGTGTGGGAGGGTCTCATAGGATTATTACTCTATGTATATTTAGGAATGGTAAATAAAATATCTTGTATTTATGGCAAGTCTGGGTATAGTATAAGAAACTGTGAGTTATTTTTTTATTTTCTCATATGTAATTTGTCTTATAATAGATAAGTCTATATATTCACATAAATAATGAACACTGAGCCTCTTCAGAAAAACCTGAGATTCTCTTATTAGCTGATGTGGCCCCATCTTGATAATCAGAGAATATGAATATAAATCCTCCAAAAATGATTCATACGAACACGCCCAAAAGTATTTTCATGTATGATTTATGTTCTCTCCTAAAGCCAAAACTAGGAGATTTCTTGGGGCAGAAATTATGGGGCCTACTTAAGATCACCAAATGAATATTCTCGATAGGAAGTGAATGATACGCACTTGGGGAACATATTATTTTTTGGCTTTAGAAAAATAAAGTACATTTTGAACAACTTATCAAGCTTATTCAAATGCGGTCATATTAAAAAATAATATAGCTTTGGAGGGAAATATTATTTGTCTGGAATATCAATCACCGTGAAGAATAATAAGTTTTAAACATTTGATATAAGCATTTTTAGATTTGACCATTCAGCATTCATTTTAGTTATTCACAAATCATAGGATATTTTTATTTTTTGACCTCAAAAATTATAAATCTAAAAGACTAATACTAAAAGTTTTAAAAAATAATATTAGATTTGGAGGGAAATATTATTTGTCCGGAATATCAATCACCGTGAAGAATAATAAGTTTAAACATTTGATATAAGCATTTTTAGATTTGACCATTCAGCATTCATTTTAGTTATTCACAAATCATACGATTTTTTTTATTTTTTGACCTCAAAAATTATAAATCTAAAAGACTAATACTAAAAGCGGGATTATATATAATGAGACCATTCACTTTTTGGTACAAGGTCGACAGAATTATAACCATCCGATGTGAAATGTGATAGCTCCAGTATTCTTTTTGAATTTTGAGATTGGTCAATGCAATAAATGCATCTACCTAATTTCATATCCAAAGTCAAGATTGGGTGCAACCACCTTGAATCAAAGATAAAAAGAAAATAAATGATCTAATTGTATACTTTTCCAAAAGGCGACCAAAACTAAAATGCATGGGTTATGACATGTTTTTGCTCCTAACTCCATCTCCAAGGTCATTATAGTAATAAACAAACCGGAGTGATTAACCGGACATGGAGCCAGAAATGGTTCAACCTGCCTAACCGGATAAGTCAGGGGTTGTTAAAAAAGCGTTAAAAAAATACAAAACAAAATCTAATAAAATATGAAAAGTCTATTTAAAGCATAATTAAATAAAACATATCGAAATGAAGTTGAAAACTAATGGAAAAAAATGGATTTTAAATAATCGATTTGTGCACGGTGGTATTTTTACAAAATATTTGAAAAATATAGGAAAATGTAAAAATAAATATTAATGACTAAAAAAATTTCCAATCTTTCCCAAAATAATGAGAGCATTCAAAAATGCATTACAAACAAAATTCTTTATTTTTTAATATTGTATATATTTTTTAAATTTTTTCAAAATACTTGGCTAATTGACCAAAACAAAAAAGGGCCAGTTCCGATCTAACGTTCTGATTTGAACCGCGATCGACTTGCAAAAGGACCTCGCATTTTGAATATAAACTCTTCTCATTCTCGATAGGGTTGCTATTGCGTCCACCGGCTGTGGACGCTTGAAAGGTGAACAGGTACTTTTCCTTTGAGTTCAAAATTATACAAACTTCATCCAAGAGCCAAAAACAATTTTAATTTTTAATTTTTAATTTTTTAAATGCTATTGATCTGAAATTTATATTTTAATTTAATTTTACAATTAAAATTGAACAAAAATAATAAAAAAATTTAAATAAAATATCGGTCTCATTTTTTATTTAAAAAGCTTTCAATTAAATTTAGTTAGTTATAGCTATAAAAATAAACCAAACTTAAGAAAAATTACTTTATTTCATCAAAAAATAAAAATAAAAATAAAAAGCTGAAAATTTAACATTTTGTTACTATACTAGTAAGAAGCATGTGCTTTGCATGTGATTAAAAAAAATTGAGTATCAAATGAAAAACCACAAACTTTTTTAGATAAAAATGACAATAAAATCACATAAGTCGTTTAATTTAAATAAAATGAAAATTTACAAAGTAAAAATAAATTTAAGAGCATGAAAGTTTGTCATTCAAAATATAAAATTTCTTACACATTTTTAAGAATAACTCTTTAAAGTGTAGGAATTTGGGAATAGAAAAAAATATGTAAAATAATTTAAATAATCATAAAAAGCAATAAGAAAGGGATTGTTATTATAAAATATTAAATCTATAAATATATTTAAGTAAAAATAAATTATAAATATATAAATTTTTTAAAAAAAATTGACTTCTTCCCTAAAAATGAGAAATGAGAAAGAAGAAAGACACCAATTTATATCATTTTTTCTTCATCTCTCTCTTAATCGATATCCTATCCAAATCTCTCTACCTTAAAAATACATCTCTCTCTCTCTCTCTACCCTAAAGATGACCTGCATAATTTCTCATGACGTCTATGAGAAGGGTATGTACCGATCCACGTCGGATACGTTTCGTTCTTGATAACCCACCCCTTAGATTCCAATGTTAGAACGGATTTTGAATCATTACACATAAATAACGGTCCGTTATAGGCCTAGAACCCTCGTCAACACCACGTTGAGGCAAAAACGGACGCGTAGCGGTTTGGGCATGTGCTCTGGCGGCACCTGCGATTCTGAATTGAACAACAAACTGCCACGTGGTTCGCTGATAACCACGTGGCTACTGATGTGATGACGAGGCAATCGGTGACGCAGAGGAGACCCCTATATAGAGAAGGGCAAGCAAATTTAAGGGCACAATTCAGAGGGAATGTAGGGTAGGGTAGGATCACAGAGAGATATTTAGGGCACATCTGAGAGGGGGTTTAAGGGCACGTTTAAGGGAGAGAGACTGGTTTGAGGAGAGTAATGGCTTCTCTAGGACCTTGGCGAGGGACCTTTGATCCCTTCCAACTCGATTTGTGGGACCCTTTTGAGATGTGGGAGCCAACACCCACAAGGAGCAAGCGTGGTTCCCCTGATGATGTGGCAGCCTACACCCATGTCTACGTGGACTGGCGCGAAACTGATACTGCTCACATCTTCAGGGTTGACCTTCCAGGTCAGCTGGATTACCGTACACCATCGTATATGATACACACACTGTCTCGTCTACAGCATCTTTTGGCCTCATGTTTGATCATTACCATAGTATGAAAATGGATAATTTGAAGGGAGATGGAGATGAAAATAAATTTACGCCTTATTCATGACCTTTGATTTAATTTGAAAATATTCAAAAAAAGCGCGTGATATTGGTGGAAATAAATTTTCAAAATTCATCTTTAAAATGTTAAAAATTCATTTCTTATGGCTATTTTACTCAATATTCCTCGCTAATAGGCGAGAAGGTATTGTCTTATGCTGTTCAAGTTCATAATTTTCGTGCTTTCTCTTGATGAATTTTTTCAGACTGGTTTTTTTTTTTTTCCTTATATTTGCTTCTGCGTATTTCTCTATTTCTCTTTGGTACTTGGACTTGATAGAAATACGATTGGAAGGAATTAATTATTAACTTTGCCAAAAATATGAATGCTTACCCTTCATCTCTTTGACTCGGCCCTGCCTCGGTCAAGTAACTCGCCCGAGTCTGGAGTGGATTCGGCCTTTCAATACAAGTTTTTCAAAAAAATTTGTACAAAAATTAGTTATAAAATCGGTAAAATTTAAATTAACATAAATCATTGGAAGCTTAGAGTCCAAAAAAATAAAAAAAAATATGGAGTGAGTTATTTATATTTGAATTAGACCTAGAAATAATCTAGAAAAATGTAAAAGACGGTAATAGAAAAGGTTCCCAGAGTATCATAGGGCTCCTATAAATTGTATAAAAAAAAAAAAATTCAAAGTGTTCTTTAAAAAAAAAAAAAACAACCAGGTGTAAAGAAAGAGAAGGTGAAGGTGAGCATACAAGGTAAAAAGGTGCTTCAAATCAGTGGAGAGTGGACAAAGGAGGAAGAAGCCGCAGGAGATACATGGCATCGTGCCGAGAGGAAGCGTGGTGCTTTCCGGAGGCGATTCCGACTGCCGAAAAATGCGGACGTCGAGCGGGTGACTTGTTCGATGGAGAATGGTGTCTTGACTGTGACAGTGCCCAAGAAGGAAGCTCCTCAGGCTGCTTCAAGGGCCATTGCTATAACATGGATACTGGTCATCAAATCCACATTGCTCTTTGTGAATAATAGTTACGCCGTACTGACTGGTTCAGCAAATCCCCACAGCTCTGTATAAATAATAGTGTCAATTATGTAGGTTTATTAGACTTGAGCAATAGGTTTTTAAGGTCTTACATGAATGCATGTGTTTAGTCTTGTGTATAAATACTCCAAAAAAGTGTGCACAAATTGTGTGGTGTTAAGGATATGGTATGTTGATATAATCGAGATGTACACAAGGGACCTCAAAAATGACATTTGTTGTAAGTTGTCCATTTGTTTTGTTTTTTTTTTTACCAGCCTGAGGTTTTAACTATATACAAGAATTGCTTTTTTGGATTTGGGGCATACATTGAGGCTAATTTACAATGAGGAAGCTAATGCAAAGTAAGTATCCTAATTTACAAGGAGGAAGCTAAATAAGCTTTTTTATGTTTTTTTTTTTTTTTGAATTGGGTGGCATGTGATGAGATAAAATCATTTTTGCTACAAGGTGGTTACGATTAATCTTTTTTTTATGCGGATTCGGTGGTTTTATCAATTTCATTGACCAAACTCAAAATCGGTGGTTTTTTATATTTCATTGACCAAAGAAGTTCAGAAATTTTTTTGAACCGTGACGTCTTAACACCATATTTTTCTTATTTATAAGAAATAAGAAGGTTAAAAAGTGCGTCATTTCTATTGCAAAAAATTGGAACCTTGATAATTGGAAGTTACTAGGGTTCAAGTTTTTTTTTTAAATTAAAAAATGTTACAGAAGACAAATGTGGAAGGAAGATATGAGAATCAATTGCATAAATCTTGTGAAAAGATGTACCATTCATTTTCACCGTACGGTTTCCCATTAAAGGCAACCTCCAATGAATTTGCTTTTTTTGGTAACATGAATTCCTCATTAACACTTTCGCATCACGGATGCTCTTTTCCGTCTAATATCAACAAATCCATTGGCTAGACTAAATAGGTGCCAAAAATAAAATAAAAAATGCCGATTTTTTGATAGATAATTTCTCATCTACTACTAGCTAGAAATAATTATGACCTCTTTTTAATAGAGATAAATTGTTTCATATTATAATTTTCTTATACCAGTGATGAAACATCAGATGCCCTCAGTTACCACTTGCCATCAGAAATCACAAGAATTTAGTCTGATATCCAAATGTTGGAATACGTGAGCAAATTAATGTCCTCCTCCGGAAAACCATTCATCTCAAATACACGGAGCTCGCAATCAATCCTGTCAGATGCGAAATCAGGCGGCAAGGTTGATGCAAAGTTCCAAGAAAAATCAATGGACTCGAGTGCAGCCATTAACGCAACCTCTAGATTATGAGTGCAGCCATTAACACCAACTCTTGATTCAACCAGTGAATGTGACCTTGTGCAAAAAGGGTGAGGACCTGACTGTGTATGTTTTGTCAAAGGAAAAGGTTAGAAAGGGTATAGCATCTGATGCACACACGAACTAACATATCTTAATTACAAATAATGTGCTTCTGCTCTGACATTGCCAAGATAGGGACCATGTTATGTTTTTGTTGTTTTTTGTTTTTTGTTTTTTTTTTTTTCTGAAACTGCTAACATTTGCTACTCTTAGATAGGGGCTTATGAATACTTTTTTCAAAAACTTAATTTTTAATTAAAACAAATGCGAAAAAAGATATGTTTTTTTTAAACTCTTTTTTTCTTTCTTCACTTATATATAACTCAAATTTCTCACACTGGCTCATCTTTGTTTTTTCAAATGCCTCTTTCTTTTCGGTAATTTCTCATCTCCATGAAGTCTCATCTCCATGAAGGTTTTCTTTTTCTTTTTTTTTTTTTTTATTAAAAGTTTGGGATGATGGGTTTTAAAAAAGATATGTTTTTTAGATTTGTTTGATCTAAAAAAATAGGTTTAAATTAATTTAAAAGATTAAAAAAATATATATTATAATTTTTATGTCTCAAGATATCATTTAAAACTTTAGGTCTATTATGAAATGAAATTTAAAAATATTGACATTTAAAAAAATTGAAATTTAAAAATAAGGAGTATGGAGATATTTTTTTAAGTTTTATTTTTTTAACGTTTAAGGTTTTAAAACCTATTTAGAGGCATAGGAATTTGAGATATCTTCTGACTCTTTAGATTAATTTTATCTATTTTAACTATGTTTTTAGTTATGTTTTTAGTTCAAACCATGTTTAAAAAATGGATCGGTGCATCGGGATCGGGCATCTCGAAAATCGATTTGGATCGGTGAATTGACGATTTGGATCGAGAATCAATCGGATTAAGCTGTAAAAAAATCTAAAAAATTTATTAAAATTTATTATAAATGTTGTTTTTTAGGAATCTAATAAGAAATAGGGGTATTACATTATTAATTTTTTTTCATCGATTTATAAATATTGAGATTTTTTTTTTTTGTGTGAACTCATGTTGACTATTAAATTTACATCAAACAAAAAAAAATCATAGGATTATCATCGATTAAGTATATAATCATATATGGACTACAATAAAAAGTTGACTAAATCGATGAAAAATTGGCTACGCGAATTGACAAAAAACCCTTATCCGTTAAAAAAATTTAAATTATTACGACTTAACTAACTATAATACTATATACTGAAATTAAAATTGTTGGTTTATATTTTATAATTATTTTATTATATTAATAATAATAAATTTAAAATATTTTATAATATTATCTAATTTAAAATGTATCATGGATAACTATAATAAAAATAGTATATTACATGATTTATAATATAAAAATTAATAAATAAAATAAAATATTTAGTTGTTAAAGTAGAAATTATTAGAATGTTTCTTAATTTTAAAATAATTTATTTTTCAAAATTTTAATTTTTTAAGTTTTTAAAATAAAATTAATGGATGAGATTGTTGTTGATAGAGAGATTTCAAATGGCTTCATTTTATGAATCTTATCTTTAAATTAATATTATTAAATTTATGTTAAGGATCATCATGTTATAAAAATTAAAATGTAATTAGACCATTTATTTCTAGGTTTTATTAAGAAATATTTTTTATTTTATTGACAAGAAATACTTATTGTGCTATCTTTTATTTTTTTTTACAAGAAAAATATGATATTTGTTGATTATCTTTTATTTTTTTTGACAAAAAAAGAAGATGTATTATATTTTTTTTTTCTTATTGTATTATCATTTTTTTTTTTACAAGAAATATAATAAAATGATGTTGCCAAAGTATCTTTTGTTTTTTTATACATTTTGTTTTATTTTTTAGCAATAAATATTTGTTATATTGACTCGTATTTTTTTACACGAAAAATAAAAAAAAATTGCTTTATTTATCTTAAAAAAAATTATTATTTTTTATCTTTTATTTTTCTAGAACTTTTTGTGTCGCTCTCTTTTCTTTTCTATTTTTATTTTTTCTATTTTTCTAGAATATTTTTTTCTTTCTATTTTTTATATTTTTACTTTTCTAGAAAACTCTCTTTTCTTTTTTATTTTTATTTTTTCTATTTTTCTAGAATTTTTTTTCCCTTCTATTTTTTATATTTCTATTGTTTTAGAAAAATTTTGGCGCGCCTTAAAGGTTCGAACTCTAAACGTCCATCAAAGAATCAGAAGTGTCAAACAACACCGCAATGTCGCTTGATGTGATTTTAGTGGCTTCTATAACAATATATATTCAATTACTTTGTTTTATTGATTTTTTGTGAGAATCTTCCCGTATCAAAAGAAGAATATTTGTTTTTTATAAATTCTTGTGTAATAGATGCCCCTGTACGCATGTAAAAAAACGTGGGCAGATATATAGGTGAGTTACCAAATCTAGGGATGCTAAACAAATTTTAGGTACCCAAGTTCTTCTCTAAATCCGTGCGTACGGAGATCGATTTCCGTGCTGACTCGTTCGAATCGGATTGCAACTTTATATTCTCTTCTCTTTCACCCAAACTCTCTCTCTCTCTCGACTGTTCCTCTCTCACTCAAACCCGGTTGAGACTTGATACTCTCCTCGTTCACCCAAACTCAACGAATCGGTTGCGACTTGATATTCTCATTCTCTTTCACCCGAACTCTCTCTCACTCCTGTTCCTCTCTCACCCAAACGCGGTTGCGACTTGACATTCTCTTCTCTTTCACCCAAACTCTCTCTCTCTCACCCAAACCCTCTCTCTCTCACCCAAACCCCTTGAGTTTGGCACCTTCAAAGCTTACCACCACCTTGAGTTTGGCACCTTCAAAGCTTACCAACTCCTTTTCTCTTTCTACAACACTACCATGATTATACTCAAATCTCATTCCCTTTCTCTCCTTTTCTCTTTCTACAACACTACCATGATTATACTCAAATCTCATTCCCTTTCTCTCCTTTTCTCTTTCTACAACACTACCATGATTATACTCAAATCTCATTCCCTTTCTCTCTACAAGATACAAGACAATGAAACCTTCCCCTGCTTACCACCTCCTTTTCTCTTTCTACAACACTACCATGATTATATTCAATCTCATTCCCTTCCTCTCTACAAGATACAAGAAAATGAAACCTTCCCCTGCTGTTGAGCTTTCATTGCACCTGATGCCGAAAAAGAGGTTGTTTTGGAAGATATATCCAAAGGACAAATCATTGGCTGCGGTATATATCATAACTAATCAAGAGGGAGACTGGTGAGGATGCATCAAGGTCCCATTGAGAGAAATGAAAATGAACCTGCTGGATCGCCAGATTTGACAGGTTCTACTGAAATAAAATTAGACTCCACTACATTAGCTTCTGAGTATGATGCTATCAGTCATGGGCGAGTGCTTGATGGTCCTCAACCCAATGATACCGGCCTTTTCAGTGAAGAATAACAAGTGGAAAATCATGTCTTGAAGCCCTCTATTTAAGGCATCCCATTTGACATATATACATAACAAGTTACCCACTGGTTCGAGCTCTCTATTTCATTTCCCATCATTTAGAGACATAAATTAATGGTAATAATCAGTGTCAGGGGAATAACTATGTGGATAAGCTTGCTCTCTAATGGAGCTCTGTGGTTTGGGGTAAGAGTGAGAGATTGGAAAACATGGGGA